TTTTATTTAGTTTACTACTTTTACAGTGTATATCCTCTAGTATGAAAGAAATAACTGTAATTGCGGTGTGCTCGCTAACCGCCAAATTTCACAATTGCACAAATTTATATAAATGATATGCACATAAAAGCTCAATGAATAACAAACTGCCTTTTCAGTGCTTTTATATATTGTATATATATATATATAAAAATAAGCAAAAAATTAAATAAAATCATACATAACTGGTTTCCGATGGCAGCTGTCAAATTAATTTATATTCAAACAAATCATTTGCCACACTTTTGCTCGACTTTTATTCGCTTAGTTGAGTAAATTTTAAATATTTCGCATAAATGTGTATAAGTGTTTATTTGAAGAACGATTTGCTAATATTTGAATAAATTTATTATAAATTATATTACACAAATTCCATAGGTACATAGCCGACATATTTACATCGAGCTGTTTGTTAGCGATATATCGATATATATTATAATTGTTTATTTACTTGTACTTTTAGTTGTTTTACCGGTAATCCAATATCGATCATAATATTGAATATATACGATGCATTAACTATTCATACCGGTAGATTTAATTAAAGTTTCTGATTATGACCAAGAAATTATTTGAAGCACTAACAAGTAATATTTTTATTAGTATATTGTACATATGTATGCATGCATGTATCAACTACGCATATCGATTAGATAAATCCATGTTAGCCAAGTTCAATTTGTATTGAACTTGGAAAGCATAAAAAATGAGTGATAATGAAAACCAATTTTATGATATATTTTTTTCAAAATTTCTAGAAAGGAAAATAAGTAAAATGTTGTTAGACTTAAATTGTTTTGTATATTTATATTTATATTTATAATTAGTATATTTTATAACCATTATTCAAACTACTATATTAGTAATTAAATATCTAATTAATTATTTTCGTTAAGCAATTTTCTTTTAATATATTTAGAACCTACAGTAATATAACATTAGCAGTAAATTATTGAATTATTAAAAATTCAGATACAAAATGAATTGAATTGATTATTACTAATTACTTTACATAATAATGAAGTGGTATTTTTTTCAAATTTTTCTCAGTAATTTTATTCAGTGAAAAACTGATATACATTTTTTTTACTTAAAATTTATTACAACTATTATTATTTTATTTCATGCTATTATTTAGTCATTATTCAAAATACAACTATAGTTAAATTATTATTTATTATATTAACTCAGTATAATGTAAAACTTGAAATGAATTATTTAAAAATAATAATAATATTTTATTTATTTAAATTTATGTTTTTTTTGCATTCAATATTGTTTATTCATTTTCCAAATTTATTTTATTCATTTTTAATAAATTTATATATTTTTTATATTTATATTTATATTTATTTTATATTTATTTAATAAATTTATATAATTCTATTTCCCTTAGCTCATATTTTAGCTTAAAATAATTTAAAGTTCTGTAAGAAAATTTATCATTTTTTATTAATTTATATTTAAGATACATATATTTATATTTTAATATACAAAAATAAAATAAATTCTTATTTTACAAAATACCTTCTCATTATTTATTTATATTTATAACAAATGCCCAGCAAACAACACAAAAATTCCATAATTATGTTATTAAAATTTAATAATAAAATCAATTAATTACGAAATTATTTAAGTACGAATTACTTGCAATCACCAGCAAATATCAATGAAGTGTGCGCGCGCTAATTACTCTGTCAAAATTGTGTATTTAAAATTGATTTATTGCTTTTCGAAAAGACAGAAAACAAAAAAATACAACTTTTTTGTGCATGAAAATATTGTAACGGTTGTAATTGTACATTTATTATATATATACATAATATACACATACAATTAAATCTGTATTTAATTGCGCTTTCCTCTGAACCAGTTTAAGTGACAAAAACAACAAATAATAATGATAATAATAAATAAGTATTAAGAAATATACAGAGAAACGCAAAATAAAAACGCTTACGTAAATGCGTTTGTACATACACGTATGCGCAAAGAAATATAATTAAAATGCAGACACTTCCATGGCACAGACACCGCATTCTTCGAGTGGAGTGTCTGAAGGTTAAGGCGAGTGTATAAATTCAGCTAAGTAAATAAGTACATACGTGTATGTATATAGCAGCCACAGAAAATATGAATTATATTTATTTATTTTTTCTTTTCAACAAGAAAATTTCAATAAAAACAGTTGTATGTAATTATGGTTGCTGACTAAAAAAAATGGAGCAAAAAAAAATGACAAGAAAGTAATGGTAGTTGATGGAAAAAAATTACGAGGAGGAGGAAACAAATTTTCCTTATTGATAATTAGAAGAAAAAGCATGAAGAAACAGTGTTCTTTAGGACTACTAGGCTTTCGAATGTCTTTTGAAGCAAATGCGCCTCCTTTATTATACATAAATCTTAAAAGATCCCAGGCCTTAAAATACCTATCTTTATTTCCGCCATAAAAAAGTTGTTCAGGTTTCCAAATAGGCAAATATGACAAACTTTCTCGACATAAATTTAGTTATATGTATGTATGTATGTACATATATGAAATATTTTTGTTGTTAAACTAAATAAAGTGAGAAAGACAGAAAACAACGTGTTGGTACATATTTTGGTACAAAACAAATAACAACAAAGAGAATATTCAGACAATATTAATTCAAGCAGAAGAGAGCGTTGGTTATTCTGCGAGATAACAAAAGTTGGTTTAAAAGAAAACAAAATAAAAATTAAAAAAAAAAAAATAGAATGAAATAAAATAAAACTGTAGATAGAATGCTTTTGGCAAGTATGTATGTATGTGTTTGAATATGAGTGTGGTACTACAGGGCCACACATAAATCAAACACAGTTTTCACCTCTAATAAGAATTTAATTTTCTTTTTAACTTTTTTTTCATTAGAATTGTCTTACTTTTAAGCCCAAAGTCTTGTGCTGAAATCCGCACTGAAAGACGCTCATAGAAATAATAAGAGGGAATTATTGCCAAAACTACAAAGATTTTGAACGATGTTCATCGAGAGCTGTAAATAAAGACTCAACATCTAAGAATAGTCCTAAGTCAAATAGATTTAGTTTGAAAGAAACATAATTAAAAATACTAAATACGAGCCGCGGCCGGTTAGAAAAATGTCAGCGTATCTCAGCAATAACACGCCGAACATTCTCTTCGTCATTCGTCTCGGGCTTGTCTGCGTAGATAAGCGACTTCATATTGCCTCACAAAAAAATAGTCCAATGGTGTTAAATTACATGATCTTGCAGGCCGTAACACAAGCTCACAATGCGAGATTATGCGTTCAACAAAAATTTCCTCCGGGCTTGGTGGTCATCTTGCTTTGCGAGGCGCTTGAAGTACATTCTAGAAGAGAACCATTTTTTTTAATACTGAATAAACTCCATTCCTGGTTATAGGTGCAACGCGATAAAAAAACTCACCAAGTAATGCAGACGATGTATCAGATCCTACTTGATATGAAAAGCATTGGGATGATTTTTTTATGCAGCTGCTTCAGCAAGAAATTTATTTTCGCTGCAACTCACAACACAACAACAGCAAAACGGACTGCAAGGGAATGCAAAAAAAGCAGCTTCAAGGTAAGACAAGCTCTGTCAGAAAAATATCTGAAAGTACAGCATACAGCAAGACTGGGAGCTCATACTTATGGTCCGGGAATCTTTTCTCTGACGCAACAAAGCTTTGAGTCACAGGCGAATTAATGACGAGTCGTGAGGACCGGTAGTAATTTCTTTTGACGTCCATTCCTTGTTGAAGGCGAAGAAGAGCTTGATCTTATTTACCCAAAGTTTCGCATTGCCCTTCGGTTAGCAAAAGGAAACCAAAAGCCCATCAGCACTAATTGCCAGAGATCAGCGTGAAGATTGATATATTTCTAGAGGGAAGTGAGCCGAGGGCTTTACAGGAATACAAAATCCACAAAACCCAGCAAGATATATAGCATTACCTCTAAAATAACAACAATAACTGGGAGCTCCTTACTGACAATGTTGCAAGCTCCATAAAAATTAAGGGAAGGTGGATATGATCACTAATCTTTTATCCGGCTACTTGGCTTTGAGCCGACGGCAAGAGAATTGATCTAATGTGATTTTTGAGGGTATATAAGTAAAGGTAATCAAAAATGTATGGTATACTAAGGATCTGGCCTAAGTAAAATCGATGTGTCTCAGTTGATAGTCAACAGATTAAGCTAACCCAAGCTCACAACAAAGCAGCATTGACCATGACGAGATCATGGCATTTATAGCACCGCCTAGAAGAGCTTGAATCTTTCATATCATGCCAAGACATCCCCTTGCAAGTCTTTTTGTGAGAGCTGTAAAGCCGCGCCTTTACTTTGCGCACTTCGTAAAAAAAGTTTTTTACTTCTTTATTTGCAGGCTTTCTCTGAAATCAACACCGATCTCTGCAGGGAAAAAATCTTTTTGCGTCAGCAAAATTGTACATTTTGCTCGTTTCTAAGAAAATTGTTTTCATATAAAATTACAAAGACGAATAATAATGAAAAGTAAATGCGAAGATACTTTAAGACAAAGTAAATAAAAAAGAATAAAATTGAAATTGACTGAAGAAAACAGAAAACAATTCTCAAAATACTCCGCTTTTAAAAATAAACGTAAATGTAAGAAAGTTTTAAGACAAAGCGTAAGACAATCAGAGAAAGAAATCATAATTCATAATTCTTAATCAATTTTAATTTAGTTTAATTATCAAAACTAGATCAGAATTTTTTAAAAAATATCCCGTCCGTAAAAATATCGAACAATTTATGCTTCATTTTAATATTGTGTATTTTCTTCAAAAATTTAACGAAAAAAATCATGAATCTCCAAAAATTAAGCATTAAGCTCCAAGAGTTTTTTTCATTTTTAGCAAAAAAAAAAAATCTTGCACTACATTCACTCGTAATAAAATATAATTTTTGAAATACCTATAATTTACTTACCGTATTTTTCGGCTTGATAAATTAATACAATTCTTTTATTTCAATTTTGCACGTCAAAATGTAAACAAAATTTTCGCACAAAGTTTCTAATTAACTAATGCGGCCTGAAAATCGCGAATAACAAAATCAAAACAAAAACACGGCATCAACGCACGTTGCTGCTGAGTATCCTCTAATTATATGAAATTCGTATAACTCGTCGCGCACAAGACAAACGATTCAAACAATTCCTTGCTAAGATACACAAAAAAGAATTCTACAACACGACGATTGGCTCACGGAAACTTCTGCTTCAGTCGACCGCTGACGAGGCAGTGAATTAACTTGGCTAATTGAACGTTTATGTATAATTCGTTCAGCCCTAACCGGTGACGGCGACTGCAACGACAGAGACTGTGACCGACGGCGAGTTGGGCTTGATGACGAAATGCGCAAAACGTAAGCACACATGTACATACAATAAAGAAAGAAATAAAATAAAATAAATACACAATTTAAATAAAAAGAGTGCTACAAAGTAAACATAAGGAAAAAAAACAACAACAAACACAATACAGATATTATAGTACAAAATAATAAAAATAAAATAAATAACTGAATTAAACACCGCACAGCTGATGTTGCCGACAGCAACGCCAACGTCGCCTCTCCACTGCCTTGCCAACATGTACGCAGCGAGCACACTCGTAACTTACCGTTTTGCTGCCGGTGTTTGTTTTTTTTTTATTATTATTGCATTAAGCCTCAATTAAAAGAGCGCACAGAGAACAAACAATACAACAATGGAAGCTAAAAGGTGGCGTGCAAAAAAAGTAACAAAAACAATAAATTTGTATGCATAACAAAAATAAAAACCTACAAAACAAACATACCAACAAAAGTTGAAATGAATTTTTGGTGAGTGAGCGACGTTTACAGCGCGCGACCCGAAATACCGAAATGTTTTATATTTAAACGACGAAAAGTTGACGTTGATGAGTGCTGACAAATGAGAAATTCATATGCATGTATGGATGCTTGTAAATATGCATAACCTATGGCCGTTACATATTTGCCGGCAAGCATATATGTATGTGCATAGCAAGAGCGCAGCCTTTTGCCGTCGTATTGACTCGTTCATAAAAATATTACTTCGTTATTCCGCCTCTGAGCAGCTTTTCTTTTAGAATTTTTTTTGTTGCTATTTATTTGTGGTTTTTGCGGTCGCTGCGCTGTGATTTGCGGTAGTGGGTGCATGCATGAAACCACACCTGTAATGCTGGAAAATAGTGTATATCTAAAAATAAACGAAATGGGTTGGTCAAGGTCGTCGTAATAATTAACTAATGATATTAAAGTTACTGGACGGAAAGTTAGGTGAATTTGGTATTAAATGTATGTAAGAGAAAAAGAGCTAAAAAAAATAAGAATCTAGCGGAAAGTTGGCTTCTCAAATTCTTCCATCAGAGTAGTTTCAGAAATAAAATATATAAAAAAATAAAAGATCGCAAGAGAGAAGATGTAGTGATTTCTAAAACAGCTGTTAGTTTTACTATTTCTATGATGTTTTTTTTTATATATTTCAACAATCTACCTAATTCAAACTGAGCTTAATATTTATAACAGTAAGAATAGAGTAAACCTCTGCGGCTGTTGCAGCAGACAAGGTCATTTAACAAAAGGTCTAGGTAATGAGTTGGCCAATGAGAAAGAACTATTTGCTTGCTGCTTCGCTATATGAAGTCCTGTATGAATAGATAGGTTTAAGCCGTGGTAACAATGTTATATGTTCTAGACTCATAATTGATCAAACATTACCTATCAACCCAATCGAAATATCTGTGTATTGTGTTGATTATACCCACTTGAATAACAACCTAATCTCTATTCCCCTTATCTCACATCAAACTACTACATATAGAGTATTTTAACACGTGAAATATGTAACTAAGTGCAAAATAGAATAAAAGGGAAAATCAAACTGTGAGAAAGTGCGCATGTAGATAAAAATAAAAAAAAACAAACGCACGACATGACATGAGTGAGAGCGAAAACGTGAACGTAATGAACTCACCTCATGGACGGTAAGGTGTCGTGTAAAGCACTTTTTCTCACCTACCTTAGATTAGCGAGTTCGCATACTATAAGTATTTGCAACCGTGTATGAATTTGTTATGTAAATATATAGACATTAGGGTGCACATTTTATTAAGATATTAATATTTCAAAGATCTAATAAAATTTAAAGCAATATTTTTGGTATGCGAAATATATATTTCAAATGATTTATTATTTAAAAAAAAGTAAGTTGATATTTTTTTAATGATCTATTTATTTATTTTTCGGAATTCTTAAGAAAAGGCTCCAAATTAGCTCCATTCAATATTGTTTTTATAAAGCAGAGTTAAATGCGTGTTATAAATTTTCTAAAAAAAAAATTGGTTTAAATTATTATTTTGCAATAAACTTTTGTTTTTATTATTTCTTAGAATTTTTAAGCAAACTTCGTAACTCTTCAGTCACACCCTAACATATGAAAACAAATGTTCATTAAATCCCTTACTTAACAGTAAAAATTAACTTTTATGGCGCCTAATAAAACTATAAATTGACACTTTGATAATTGAAGAAAAGCAAATTTGACGGAAAGGCGTCAGACTGTGAAACGAAAAATCGCAACAAATTGAAGTTAAATATATTTTTGTTAAATTTTAGGGTCGTGTTTTCAAGCATTTAAAGTTAATTTACAAACAGAAGTCTACTTTCTTTTATGCAACCTCTTTATAACTCACATGGGAATAAATGTTGTGATCTAAGTGTGTCTTAGAGGGAGGGAGAGAGAATAAAATATCGAGTGGAAGAGAGATATAGAGAGAGAGAAAGAGAGAGGAAGCGAGAGAGAAAGTGAGAGGGAAAGAGATATAGAGAGAGGAAGTGAGGGGGAGAGAGAAAAAAATGTCGAGTGGAAGAGAGAGAAAGAGAGAGAGGGGGAAAGAGAGGGAAGAGAGATAAAGAGAGAGAGAAAGAGAGAAGAAAAAGAGAGTTTAGAGAGAGAAAGAGGGAAATAGAAAGAGAGAGAGAAAGAGAGAGAATGGGAGTGGGTGGGGGAGGGTGAAATAGAGAAATTTTCTGGCTTTCTCAAAAATAAATACGCAGCGAAGTCGGCTTTTAAATACTTCCGGCTAAAAAAATGCCAAATGTAGAATAGTATTCTCTCCTTCAAAAATAGAAAGAAGCAAACAGAAAGATTTAAAAATCTATCCAGATCATCCTCGGATCATTTAGTCGACTACATACAGCCCACCAACGTCGAAGGGTGGCTCTAGGGAAGGTCAATAGAATGCTTCCGCCCAAGGCTCAAAACTGAAGGTGTATATGCTACTTTAAGGGATGATGAAATGAGCTGAGTTAGGTATATTTTGGATGCAGTAAGCTCTAGAAAATCTTTTTTTTACTTCTATCGTCAGGCTTGTATAGTAAACTGTAGCTCCACTAAGGCTAAGTGCTACTCAAGCATGGAGAAATCGCCTTAAAGGACACGACCAAATATTATAATCTGAACCATTACCGGAAGAGGGAACTAAATCACCTCAGTTTCCAGTTTCGACAACGCTTTCTTGTGATTACTCAATTCTGCAATGGTAACTCACAACCCATCACAACTTATTTTAAAGCCAAAAGGAAGAATGATAACCATTGTAAACTCTACATACAATGCGACCTTACGTACCTCTTTCCTTAGCGAAGTACGTGACAAGATCGGTCTTCAACAATAGCCCATTAGCAGATATCAACGTAAAACGGTATTCAATGCGACCATACAGAACTGATCATCAACTGAAGAGACGGTAACCCTATCTCGACTCCTTCTAAACTGGAGCTCTATGAGCAGAACAACACTGTATGAGTGGGGACTCATGGTAGAAGAGTACTGTGTTGATGTTGACGTGTGGTAGAAGGATTAGTCGCTTTTTTTAATTTGGCCCGTAAACGTTTTACCTCGATTGCCTTAAAGAACTTGCATCTGCTGGCTGCAGCAATCTCATGAGATTTGAGAAACCAACTAAATGGTCTGAACATCTGGCAAGGTGAGTGGGATTTCTTTTCTTAGGCATCCCATTCGGTCAACAGTCCTATGCTCGCTTGATCAGAGTTCTGTGATCAAGCAACATCATTAACTAACTAAACTTTGGGGCTAGCAGAGGTAGGGATAAATCATGATGGAGTTGGAAGGATAGCGGGTCGAGAGAATTTGTGTCTAAGAGGCAAAGCCAATCACAAATGTCGGAAGTGATTGCCCTCAGTTCCATTAAAGATTTTTTTCCAAATTTAAAAAATGCCCTCATAGGTACTGTGTAGTTATAATTTTTATTGTCTTTCGGCAGCTAAATCTTATGGAAAATTTTAAGAAATTCTACAAATACAACAAATATAAAAGTACACAATGAAAATATGCGTCTCTACGCCTAGCGATACCCTGAAAAGGTGTTGATTCCTCCATAAATGTCAATTGACGTATTGTGTTTTCAAAATATATAAATAAGTACATACATATATATATATATATATTCATAGAAGGGCATATTAACTATTGTACATATTTATTATGCATTATGAAATTATTAAATGCATTTGTGTAAATGAATGAATTTAATTGTAGCGTCATAGAGATAAAACAAAAAACGTTAATCGCATACATATATACATACGTGTACATGTGTTCATATGAACGTATATACATATGAGTATACATACAAATATATAACAGGTAATTATTCAATTAAAATAATCAGTTGCTGTTATTCTTCTTCATATGTACATATGCACACATATGTATAGCATAAATAGGTATGTATATATAATATATACACTCACACCAAGGAGTTCTCTGGAAAATTTCCCTCCAGCTGTATAATCAAATATTTTCTGTTTCAAATTTGCTTTAGGATTTTTAGATAACTGTTTTTTTTTGCGATGGAATTTCATTCAAAATGGCATTAAATAAGTATATGGCATGCCAAGGTCATGCCCATTGTAAATAAAGGTTCTTTTATTACAGGAAACTGCTGTAATTTAATTTATACTAAATATGCGCTTACAAATAATACTAAGACTTGTGAACTCATGAGTTATGACTAATTCTATACAGAATGACTTTTACTCGTAAGTTTTTACATATGCACCTTTTGTGCTCCATTTGAGGGAGCTTTCACATTAGTAATAATTCTTTATTGAAAAATTCAAATCTTTACTGATTGCTCTTCCACAGCTCATATGGTATAAATTGGAATAAATAAAGTGTGGTGAATTGGTTATGGTAAGAAAATATGTTTTATTATTAGGTGTGCTTTATTTAATGTACTTAGTATCGCTGAAGTATATAAAGCTGTGGTGAATTTAAAAGTGGTGAATTTATATATGGCAAACTTTAATGTGGTC